CCCCAGCCAGCATGGCTGGCTAGGGGATTCTGGGGGTTGAAGTCCACTCATCTTAAAGTGGCCAAGTTTGGACAACACTGCCCTAAGAGCTACGGTGAACAGCAAAATATGTTTCCACTCTTAAGAAAGAGCTATTACATAAATGAGCTCACAGTTGCATTCTGCAGAATCTATTCCGTATTGTTTGAAATAGCTTTTCAGTTGAAAAGGAAGGACAAAAATAATTTGCTCATCTTTTCTGAACCAGGAACAGAATGAGTCTTCTACAACAGATACATTATTGGAGGTGGATTAGGAAAGCTGATATCCAAATCCTTGCTCTACTACAAAATTCCTAGATGAAACCAGTCACAGGGAATTGTTGGGAAGTTAAACATGGAATAACTTTATATATGGTAGCAAGACTATTTGGAGGAAAGGCTGTAATCTGCATGCTGCAAACACATTATAGTAACAAAACTCAATGGTAATGTCTCAGTTGGGCACTATGTATGTTTAAAAATCATAAACTATCATAATCTTAAGACTTAAATATCAAACTAGCAGCAATTATTAAAGAGAAACATACATTGCGGTACACAAATACTCTCAGTTCTTTGCCACCCAGAGTTTCTAGCTTCTGTCCATGGAAAAGATATTTAGAAGAAAGCTGCTCTTTAATTATATGATCTTGGAGCAAATTTCTATTTACCGAAGGACTATGATCTGCAGAACAAAATAAAACCATTATTCATACATTCAGATCAGCACACAGTCAGTTATATCCATTTTAAAATACATGCAGACTGAAGCAACTGCAGGAGATGATAAAGGGGGCAAAGTATAAAAGCTCTGCCCTTTTGCACATGCATTGTGACTTTGCACACACATACCAAAGAGGTGGAAGTTATGTCACAACATTGCAATACTACTTTCATCATTTTGATGAATCCTGCGGATGCCTCTGCATGAAGAGGTTGTAGAAACAAAATCAGTATTTCTGCTCCCATTTTCTCTCTCCCTCCTTCTCGCCTATATTCTAAGCAATGAACAACATTGCATTTTTCAGCCTATTCACAGCAGAAATCTCACAATTTTCCATCTACCCCTCCACACCCACTTTCAGTTCCTCCCATAGATATTCTAAAAATAGATATTCTAAAAAAAAAAAAATAGTCTGGGTTTTCAGGGGTGGTTGGTATGAAAACACAAATACTTGGGGACTTTGTAGATCATTTATGATGGCCTCCAGATATGTTGAATTCCCATTCTCATAATCTCCCAACCAATTTATTTTATTTATTGTTTACTTATAGTACTTTTATACTACACAATTTGGTCAGACTCGTGTATGCTGATAGTTTAGAACATATCCAATCTATCTGGAAGAGTTTACTGTCATATAAATTTGCATGCAGTAAAACCCACTTCGACATGATATAATCATATGGTGAGAACACTTAGGATGTTGTATACACTATTTTATTCTCTGTCCCCCAGTTTTCTGCTCCCCTGCCCCAACAATTGATCAACATTCTGCTTTGGCATGACAGGTCTGCAGTGGGTCATTTCCAAAATCTTTAACAATTTATATTTAACACTTTGACTCTCTTATGTATGGATGATATTGTTTTAGCTATCTAAGAATCAGCTTTAGGAAAATTCAGATTGCTCTATGTTCATCTATCTGATACTATTGTAAAGCCTGAACTCCGGAGAAGAAGAACAGGATTCAGATAGAATAATTTAAGTCAAAGGTACCAATTGATATTACTGGACCATTACTGTGATGTTTTGTAAATAAGGAGAGGAAGGTGAGCAATGAGAGTCAGAATGAATTTTCCAATGCCTAATTTGGATCCTGCGACTGCAGACTTCCTATGTCTGCTATAAATTATCTGTTCATTTTGACACAAACACAGGAAAGACGTTAACAACCAAACATTTAGACTAATTTCACATACCTCATTTTTTATCTTGATACAATCAACCCAGGTTACAATATTACAGGTATTAATGGATAACCATATAAATATCCCATTAATGTGATTAGATTCATATAATCTTATTTCTGTATCAAATAGACTTCTATATTGTCCCCAAATACCAGCAACAAGAACTTGCTACAACCTGGTAAATATCATTTTATCATTCACTAAATTCAATCCGACCAGTGCCATGTATGATTGAGTAAAGTAAATTAACATAGTTACATCAATTTATTATGAAATTGATTAGGACTGTGGGCTAATCACTTAGCATTTCTTTAATTGCTTGTGTTTTAGTCATTTAAAATATTAAATGGCATTTTAATAAATCTGTCTACAGTATATCTAAAACCTGAGTACTAGTACCTTTCTGAGGATACTGAAGGAAATTTAAGATATAATTGAATAAAAATAGCTTTCATTAATTGTTAGAAAGCAAGACCATCTAACTTATTTTTATTTCCTATTTCCTATTACCATCACGCACATGAACGAAAATAACATTTGAAAAGCTATAAATGGATATGGTTTTGACATGCAGTCCTACTAATTAAAAATTAGTCCTAGCAATCAACTGAAGCTTAAGGCATATCCAAAGGCGCAATTCCAGGCACAGGAAGGGGGATGAATTTTCCTTCTCTCCCTCCCTTACAGCTTGTTGATTGAACATGAGACACTAATGACAAACAGATTGCTCTGTATAAGAGTTCCAGTATACAAACCTTTGTAGAAAGAATTGATGGGAGCCAGGACTGTCAAACGCTCATTTCCAGTAAGATGTGAACCAAGACCAACTTGTCTAAAAAGGTCAATAGATGTTGAAACATCGGATTCCTTACCCAACTCCAGCAGTGTTTTAGCTTCAATTAAAACAATGACAACAGATGTCAAAATGGATTTCATAATTATTAGACATATTAAACAGTACCTGATGAAGGAGCAGAACTGTATTTGTTAAAATGTTTAATCATATTTAAGCATGCTTAGTGAATTCAAGAGGGCACTGCTTTGCCATGACAAATTCCACTGATTTCAGTGAGTGTAATCTAGGCTTGACTAAATCTGGATCCAAAACAGTGATAGGTTTCAAAATTATTCAAAAACAAATAATTTCTCATTTTTTCATAGTTTCTTCCATATTTTGTTTAAACAGAAAGAACTAGCATTTCCATTCCATATTTTCCCAACATTTAACTTCATTTTAAAAGTTGGAAAATTATATTTTTTAAGGAAATTAACCATCTTCCTAATCATGTCAGGGTGAGAGAAGCAAGTACTGTATCTAGATTTAGTCTCTCATCTACTGTATCTAGATAGCAGTCTCTTGCCCATTTTCATATTTCTGTAAAGGTAATTGCCTAAAAGGTAATTTGTTATTTTTTTTAAACAATACCAATCGCTTTTCAAAAGTACAGGGAACATGCAAGGGTTAGAAGTTCCATGAACAAGGAAGCGTACATCACAGCATGGGCTACCATGTGCAATTTCCATTTTCCCAATTCACACATCCATTTTAAATGGGCAAAGATGACTAGTTCCATAATCTTCCATTAGAAGAAAGAAACTTAATTCATGGCACCCAAGTCATGTTGTTTAACTTGCAGTTGCATATAGCATTCTGAGGACAAAAAAAAAAAAAGTTTTACCAGAGTCTGGGATGAGAAGTTCATTGACCAAGTGTATCACTCCATTGGTTGCCATTATATCCTTGTCAGCAATGATGGGTTTTCCATTGAGAGTCAGCTGATTACCAGAACAGCTTACTTCCAACATATTACCCTCCAGGGTTTCCATGGATAAACCGGCAATAATAGCTTCAGCACACATAGCTGTTTTTAAGATGTGGTTGTTCAGCAGTGCTATGGGGGAATAGGACACAGTAAGCAGAATTTTTTTAAAACAGCTTGGACATCTCTTCTAGTGAATGGTAGGCCACACACTGAAAATTAAATAGTATTTCAGAATAATAGTAAGTTGACATGCTTCATACTCTTGTCTCTAAATAAGCAAAATAGTAAAGCGAAAACAAATCTTGCAAATTGCTCAGTGTAGCTTTCTCCAATCTGATGCCCTCCTGATTTGTTGAGTCTACAATTCCTAGAATTGCCAATCAGATCTGGAAGATAGCAGGTTGAGGAAAGCAAGCTCACTGTTTTCATTCAGGGCACATCAACACAGAGATGTTTGTAGCCTCCAGGCTTGGTCAAACAGGCAAATCAACTGCAAATACAGTATTTAATGAGAAGGAAGGAGTTACTAGTAGTTCTAGCCTTAATGAGAGGAAGGAGTTACTACTAGTTCTGGTCAGCCCTCTTTATATTTAGCAAGGATCAACTTCCTAGTTCCAAGTCCAAGTCCAAATCCATGCTATGGTATTTACAAAAATATTTCTTTGCTGAAAAGTCCTTCTATGTATACAAAATCAGGTACATTTATTTCCTAAGGATAAGACTCTTCTCAACTCTTATTGAACACATTCGTTCAGATCCTTAACAATATTGAGGATTGTTTCCCATTTAAAAGCACAAACAACTGGTCTAATTATACTTTGCTTTGGCTTTAGAAATAAATGAGTGTTGTGTATTTTATTTTTTTAAAGCACACAGCTTGATATTGCAGAGGTTTCTGAGGCCCATCTAATGTCATCAAATACATCGTTCAAAGTGCTGATTGCTATTGTTCATCTTTTTCCCCATGGAAAGTGCTGACCAGCTTGCCTAGTTCTCCATGCATCTGCCTTCTTGGTAATGAGTCAATGCCAACACAGCTTTCTCATGGTTTCCTCTCTCTGTTCCTGCCTTAAAGTCAGCAGAAGGGTTGAAAAACGTCATCACTAGAGCAGTGACTCATGTAAACAAAACATACCAAAAGAGGAAAAGGAGTTAGGAAGAGCCACCATCATAGCAGGGAGGCATGCAAAGACTGCATGCTATGACTCCAGTGCGGGTCCCTTCCATTCATGTATAACTTCTTGAAATAACAATGGAAGAGAGAGAAAAACAAACCCAAACAAATCCAAAAACAAAAAACTAACATGGTTTTTGCATCTCTCAGCTCTAAATGGTGAGGACGGAATTCTAGATTAGCGTTCCATTAGATTTCAAAATAGGTGGCCTAATTCTCTATTTAGAACCTCTAGTTAAAACCCAAAGGCATTTATATTTGTCTCAGTGAGTGAAAACCCTGGTAATGAGGTTTTGACCATTTTTAAACAGGGAATGCTGCCTTAGAGTATATATTACATGCACATATGTATATTGATACTCACACACACTATTTATACCCAAACACACACTATATCCACTAAGTAGAAGTAAAATGCAATTTCATTTTAAACAGAAGTTTAAATTAGGTTTATCTCTGGAAATAATTTCAAAGACCAATTTTGTCCATGAATGGTACATCAGAGAAACCTATCTCATACTGTATGTGACTTTATAAGTTAACACTGCTGTCTGTAACATTTAGAAACTTGATTAATTCTCCCGTACAACTATTTATTTCCCATGAAAATAAGAAGGACGTCTTAAAAGAATGTGGTTCAAAGAGCAGGCTCAATTTTGCCCACAACATGCTGAAACATGGTTTCTATCTTTCTGAAAGGATGGATTATAATGAAATCTAAATGGGCATCTATAACCCTCAGGATGGTGTATTATATCTCAATAGTTCCCTTCACTTCTCTTGTAACTGTCATCTACTGTCCCACTATAACTCAAGAGAATAAACAGGAATGAATAGTAATAAATTTCAAAAATACATTTTGCCTCCATCCATCACTCATAGGGTCAACTCTTTGGTGAAACCAATAGCCTTTCTTTTAATAACTATTATGGACAGATTGTGGTTATTTATTTACCTTTCAGAGCTTCCGGGTCTCCCAGGATCCTGTTAAGCGTTTCTTTAGGAATCTTCTCAAAAGCTTCATTGGTTGGTGCTAATAATGTAAACTGACCTTCATCTTCTAAAAGATTGTTTAGACCAGCAGCTGCCACAGCAGCCTTTGAAGAAATGGAAAAGAAAGGGAATCAGTTATGTTAGAATGAATCTAGTAAGGATGCCAGATAAACAGATTTCCAATAAATTGATCTCACTTTTCACTGGTGTAAGGAAATAAGACTGAGATCATTTGAGATAGACTTACCCTAAGAGTTTCGAGACTTTCTTCAATCTCTACAACTTGCAGGATGCTGTTTGATGTTGTAGAAATGACTTTGTCTATCAGATGGACTACTCCATTGGTAGCATGATGGTCAGCCTTCAGCAATCTAGCACAGTTCACAGTCACAATCTGGATAGGGAAAAAAAAAAAGCAAATGAATATATTGTTGACATTAAATGTCTATGTTGATTTGAAGGATGACACAACATAGGAGGGATATCATTAACAGAGACAGAATGAATCCTAGGGGTTGCTTGTGTAGATCTGACAGAATCATTTTGAAGAATCCTATAGGTTTTAAAGGTAGGTCTTTATTTATAAATGAATAATTTTACTTTTAATAAAAACTCATAAAGTTAAAAAAAATAAAGACCACCAATTCAGAGGACAGCATCTTACTCAAACTGTTTTACTCAAACACAAACATCTAAATACAAGACAACGAACCTGTAAAGATTGCATGCATGCATAATTCACTGCTTTTCCTTCATATCGTCTGTATTATATTCACTCTACATCTATCTATGGTAGATCTCTTCCCCCAACCCCGCCTCTCCTTCCCTCCCAATACAATTTAGCAGTCTTCTTTTAAATTATATATCATAATGACACTATTATATGACTGCAGAGAGATGTGGATAAAAGCAGCTATGCTGTTTTTTTAATCTTCGCATTCCCAAAAATCATTCTGAGTGCTGTACGTATGCATCATAATCAGTACAAGAAAATCTTTTGAAAGTGTTTCTTCATGGTAGGAACTCCACATTTTTGGGCTACTACATTGTAGAAAGCTAATTTATATTAACATAACTGGCTACATTATTAAGCTACCCAAAGTAGGAACAAAATAATGTTTCCTAACTTCATCCAATCTAAATCCAGTACTGTGCCGAGTTATATTTGTAAATTTACCAGATACTCACTCCATTTGGGTAATGATGAATCTGGATATCAATATTCTGGTACATTGAAGGGAGAGAAAGCCCATGTTTTAGCTCATCTGTTAGGATTCGTCTATTTACCATGTGATACCGCAGAGCATTTAACAGCTCAATATTGACATTGCTCACCAATGAATCCAACATTTCCTAAGACCAAAAAATCAGATTAATGATTTGGCTATACTGAGCATCCTTTCCCAGGTCTAGGCACATACATTTTACTTGACTATTTCTATCTGCCTTCTGCCTAGTAGGAGGTGGGGAGTTTATCCCTGAACTGTACTAGTTTCCCTAGAGTGGGAATTGAGAGCTTTGCCAGAGAAACAGCAGTTACTATCTCAACATTTTTCTTACAGAAAACGTTCCTATATCCACTTCCTTTTCCATCCTGATGCACTGAAGTGCAACTTCCCTAGTAACAGAATTATCTGGAGGCACTATGCTGAGGTAGGTTACCCGTGAAGAAAGGATTTTTCCCTTTCCAAGTAGAAAACCAAGCTCATGAAGCGGTAATAACCACACATTCTGCTCAATGCAACAATATCCACCGGATCTTGCTGCTTTCATTAGAATGATGAAAGCACTGATTGCTGCATTATGCCACAAGTTCTCCCCTTTGGAAGCAGGTGTACAACACTGTAACACAGGTAGGAAAGGAGGAAGGCTTGTGATGTGATAACACAACACTGTTTTAATTAGTCTGGTGTCCTTGTCCTGCAGAAGATGTCAGCTCAGAAAAGGAAACAACTCTGCGATTGCCAATCTTACATTCACCTACTACATTCTTTTGCAGTCTAACTTGTCCTTAGTTTTCACAAGCCTGGTATGGATATAAAGAACAGTTGTAGCCCCATACTTGCTGTACATAACTTACACAGTTCCACCTAATTTCAGTCTTTTTTTTAAATGTCAAGCATATTTAAATAATGTTTCTGATAATGGCAAGACAAAAAGTTTCAATTTACAGGTATAACTCTGGATCCAACTTTTTCACATTCTATTTATTCTTGTAGTTTTATTCATAATGAGTGGTTAAAACCAAGCTTAGAAATCTACCACATCATGAATTCCATCCATATTGAGCAAAATGTAGCTGCCCTAGACTTACAGCAGGCAACGATGCCCAGGCCTCATTGGTGGGGGCAAACATGGTATAGCTGCCAGGCCCTGTGATTTCAGCACTCAGGTTAGAGCTGGCAGAATAGAGCTGAGTGGTGGTGGCTCCAACAACTCCAAGTGTCTCATGAAGATTGACAAGTGGCAAAGCTGTTAAAAATAAAGAAGGCATTTCACTTTAGCAACACTATAGTAATTTCAGAACAAAATCTACTATTTCTCTCTCTCTCTCTCAGTCCCTTAAGCTTTCTTGGCAAGATTTCAGAAGTGGTTTGCCATTGTCTCCTTCCTAGGGCTGAAGGAGAGTGACTGGCCCAAGGTCACCCAGCTAGCTTTGTGCCTCAGGCGGGACTAGAACTCACTGTCTCCTGGCTGTTTCTAGCCTTGGGCCTTTAATCACTACACCAGACTGGCTCTCTGGTTAGGGTTAGGGTTATTTCTCAATTAGAATAAAATAAATAAGTACTAAAGAGCTTTGAAAATAAATCTGGTCAATTAGTTGGCACTAACTGAGAGAAGACCAACTGAAACCAATGAGGTAGGTTAGACAGGACTACTTTAAGTCCTGTCCTTAGTTCTCAAAGAATAAATAAGTCTGTGTCCAACCCACTGAGTTGAGACTGATTTCACATATTACTGTTTTTAGCACAGACCTAGATTTAGCTTGATTTGTGTTTTAGGTCCGAAAAGGGCAGAAAAAAGAAACAAAACTTGCAGCAGTGGCAAATGATATCTTGCATGGACATGGGTATAATTGCCTAGGCATATCTGATCTGCAAAAATCCAGATAACCACTAGATGATAATACAGAAGTATCTAATGGTTATATAGATTTTTGCAGACCAGATATTAAATTAAAAATGCTAATAATGGGTGGAGAAGAAGCAAGGAGAATGAGACTTTACTGTTTCTCATTCTACAATTTTCCTACAATTTATTAGTCTTTAAGCATACATTTGCAATTGCACACACGTTTGAAATCCCACAGAGAAGAAAATGGGGGGGGGAGGACGGGGGAGGTGGGGAAGAGTAATTTATAACAAACAATTTGTAGGTATCATTTTTTCACTCCAAGTTGCTCTTCTCTGCCATCAAAGCAGGTTTGCTAGTAAGAAACAATATCATATATATATATATATCACACTATTATTAGCAAATAATATACAGCTTTTACCTAACATACTATATATGCTTTGTGTGTGTATACGTTATAAAGAGCCCAGGAATGTGATGACGCTGCATAGGTGGGTTAAGGAGATAAGATGAGGTGAGATTGATTTATGAACACTTTGCTAGAAAATAAATGGAACTGGGGCTTGAAAGGTTTTAAGGAAACAGGCAGTAGAAAGAAAGGGAACCTGCTCTACTTATGGCAGAAATGGAAACTCAAGGAAGAGGTAACTGAAGATGATATGCTTGTGTAGCATTGCTGAATCAGATAAACATTTGTTTAGTCCTGTTTCCAGTAATTGTCTGCTAAATACTTCTTTGTCATATTTCATAAGGCAGCCTATTTCTCATTACATTCCCTCCAAAACCAACCAAAGTATTCAGACACGCTACTCTTGAAACTCAAGTTTCCTTTAACCATAATAGCTATTGACAGACAAAAAAGTATGATTAATGGAAATGCTGAGGAAAGAAAACTCAGTATAATCTCCCATTTGCACGTGTGGCACCCAGAACGTGTGGCAGAAAATAGGGATGAAATAAGATGAAATAAAATTAAGGCTGAAAGGTTTTACTGTGAGATGGTCCAGGATCTAACGAGTCAGAAGAGAACCTGCTTGCCAGGTTTATTTATTAACTAGTTAAATCCCAAACATATGCAATACTGTACTTGTGTTGCTAGCTATTTAATATGGTTTATGCTTTGAAAACAGAAAGCATAGCAACAGATTTTAGAGATTAAAAAGAGCTGGCACTTTTTATATTACTCTGTCTGTCTGGAACAGACACTAGAGAAAGACTTCTTGCTATAACTTGTCTCTTACTTATTGATTTATTACTGGTTTCTTACAAGGCTCATTGGTCAAATCAGGAGACATGCAGTAACACATTGATTAATACAAATTTACATAGGTTAGGCTATGTAACTAGTCTAGACTAAACTAGAGAACCTGTAAACCTCATTTCATAATCTTATTTACCAGCCGGGCAGCCTTTTTCTCCAGGAACTTCTTCATATCCAGGACAACATTCATAAGCAATCACTCTGTAATGAGAAGGATACACAGCATATTAAGATAAATAATCAACCAAAAAATCCAGTTGCCACCTGGTACAATTCATACAGTGAAACTTGACTGAAATTAAGTCCAGTTACATCAGTCTGTATTGACCTATCATTCCCATAATTTCTGACCATTAACATTTCTGAAAAGTCATATAAAACATCTGGAAAGGTGACTGGCAAGTAAAGTCGGGAAATGTCCCCATGTGAAACTTACTGAAAAATTATAGACTAATCAGATGGCATTCTAGTTTGTGCTAAAGATGAACTACAAAAAAAAATACTATTACACTTACCATATTGGGGTGAAAGGTGTACTAAATACAGAGGCCATTTCTTTAGGAAAATATGCATAAAATATATGCATTGAAGCCAACATCATGTGCTGTTTTCTGACTGTTGAACATACAACCATTCACTGAATCTTTCGAAACCTTAAAAAAGTTTTAATCCATCCAACTATGCCAGGGTAATCAATTGTAATCTTTTATGTCTGCATTAAAAATAATGAAGTGTGTTTTCTTAGCAGATTAAGCTATTTTGATATCTGCTGGGCTCATACATTATATTTAATCACTGTTTGGATGACACTGTAATTCCATTATGTTTATTATCTTAACAAGCTATCTAATGTTTTCTCTCATCAAGCCCCAGTACTGAAATAATACTTCTCTCCTTGGGAGACAATTTTTGCTTTCTTTGACCAGCCTACACAACTAGGAATTGATTTAAATATGTATTTATTCATCCTCTTGTACCAATTTGAATGAACTCATGGAATCCCAACTACATTATGAGCAATCAGATAAGTAAATCAGCCAATGAATGTACCTCTGTGATATAAATAAGCAGCCAGGCCAATTAGTTATGTTCTAAGGTTTAATTTAAAAAAATACTTGATCAGTGATCGAACTAATGAATTGCCTCTGACATATTTAACAGCTCCTGGTGACCTGTCTTTTCTCAGCCTTCTAGCAGAAGACAATCTAAACTATAATTTTAAAAACAAAGCTCTTCCACAAGGTGAAGGTGGAATATTTTTTCCTTATTAAAAAAAAAGCATAGTTTTTATTTTGTTGTTAAAAGAAACTATGCTTTCTTTTTAATATGGAAAAAATATTCCACTTTCATCTTTCCCCAGTGTTGGCTGACTTCTAAGTCTGCAACTTTTAGAAAAGTAGACAATATAATCTCACTGTCAAAACTGCAAAGAGAATAATGTGGATTTAACCTACAAAACTGACTTAGAAGTACATAAGCCAAATGTTGGGTTAAAATGATATGAAAAATATAGGAATGTATCTGTGATGAAGTAGGGGAGAGTCATTGGATGGAAGCAAGTTAAACTATTTGGTATTTTATGATTTGACTTTTGTCATTTAACATGCTACAAAATGAAAAAAAATATTTAAGGTAATTACATTTTAAAGTGTGCTACAAATACGTGCACTACACTTATTGAAACATATTCTGTATTGCAAGTTCCAAGAAAAGTTACACAGGAAAATCTAGACTCATTGTCTAGACTTTATATATTCCATATGGGAAATGTTTTGCTTAAAGTAATTTGCTTTCTTTGATGCTTAGAGCTCTCAACACCCCACTGGTACACTTTTCAGTCTCACACTAGCTTTTTCTTTAGGACAGATATACACATTTATATGCCCTATTTGGCAACAAAATAAACTCACCATTAATGGTCTAGACAGATTTTTAGTTCAAACCAGAATTTAACACAAAGAAATGATTAATGAAGAATTCAGCTACAGTTTAGCATCAAGAATTCCCAAGATATGATGTTGTTTCTCAAAGGCTTATTTATAGAGAAATGGGTGTTAATGAGCTGCTACTAACTGGCCAGAAACCTAATGTATACAAAGTTAGGAGGGTAGTCTGAACTCTTCAGTAGAAGCATCTGCTTGATTCTCTGGAACTGTATTACACTGCAGATTAACGAGCACAGAGCCTTAGGGAATAAATAATTAAAAAATGAATTGCTTTTCTTCAAATTGATGTTAGCAGGGTTTCACATATTATGGAGAAATAAATCTGAGGTAAATATACACAAAATAGACAGTTGTAGCTCAACATTATTATTCTATTCCATCTTTATGGGTCACCACATTAGCCTAGGCAAATATCTCTCTCACTGAAAAACAGAGGTCGTAGAATGAAAAATGTTGACACTCAAGAGTTCCATAAGTGTGGAACAGCCCTCAAAGTATAGCTTATTTACTATGACCTCTAATTATTTGTTCCACCGATTGCAAACCCAGCTTGAACCATGACTCTAGTTATGTCACTGACTAGAGGGATAGCTAAGCAGCAGCCCTTCCCATCTGGTGGCCATATTCATACCACTCATTTCTCTTCCAAAAGGCAGCACCAAACATTCTGTCATTTTGTCTGACTCAAAAATCAATGAAACAGCTGACAATCAATATAACAAATAGCGAAAGGTCAGGAGCATTATCAGTATGGCCCTTTCCAGATGCTCTCTTATGGAAGACACCATTTTAGGAAGCACGGAACATAAGCGCTCACAGAATCTATAATGTGCTACAGTAATGCAGGACAAATCAGAAATAGTAAAGAAAACAGCATAAACTATCAGCTTTCAGCAATGAAAGCACTGAGGTCATCTTCTGAGGTCATCTGACACACTATTTACAAATCATAAATTTACAAGCCACTAGTACATTTACTTTCTTTTCTTAGAATGTCTGATTAGATGTCACATATATTTATGACATAGAAATCTAGTCATAGTTATACTAGATTTCTTAATACGGACGTTTGTCCTATACACAGTAATGTCTTCTGCCCACATTTTCCAGTCTTTTTATGTGTGTGATTTTAAGTGAATTTTTCCTATTAGTCAATTAGGCTTTGATTTCAAAATGTAAGATAGCCACAAAAATATATGGAGAAAGAATATACTGTATTTGTAGATCCGGATAATTCTTAGCATGCAAAATTAAGTGGAAATTTACATTTGAGATAATAAAAAACAGACATTAAAACATGCACCAAATCAAGACTCACTGTTGCAGTGGAAAACTCATCTAAGGAAATACTAGCAGGAGAGAATCCAAACAAATGTTTTATTCTAAAGCTAGCTGGTTATGATGAATCACTGGTCTGTAGCACCCAGATGAGCCAAGAGTAACAGCCCTTGAGCATGCGTATACACTAATAGGAGACCCCAACAGAGAGAATGGCTTTACAACTGATAAGGAAACACGATAACTCTAAGGGAAACATGGTTATCATTCATGGTGCAATAACATTAAAGACACATTCTTAGGAACCTAACATAGTTGCTTTGAGATATTAGAAGTGTCAAGGCTCTATTACTGTCCAGGCATTTAATAACTAAGTGGTATCATAATAAGAATCCCCTATTTAATGCAGCCATCAGAAAAATACAACTGAAAACATATATGCAGTGCTATACTAAAAACAAAGCATATATGTAATGCCATATTAAAAAAAACAGGGCTTGTCTTGGCTGTGAGCATAATTATTATTCTATGTGCATCAGTGGAGGACAGCAGTATATATGTCCATAAAATAATTGCATAAAATAAAGCAAATGGATCTCCATTTAAGATATATGACTGTATAGAGAAAACTAATATTGCTTGGGTGAGATAGCATATAGACAATCACGGCAACTATCCTGTACACTGGAAGTATGGAATATTGTGTCCTGCAGATGTTTTAGGTTTCATGGCCATAATCCCTTGCTAAGGGGCATCTGGCTGAAACTGATGCATATTGAAATCTTAAACACCTAGAAGGCTCTTAGTTGCTTACCTGCTACTTTACCCCCCTAAATCATTAACTTTTGGAATTGCTTTTACAGTGATCTAGAAGGAAAGGTATTCTCTGCATTTGTGTGGGATGAAATTCTTACAAGTTTATGTAATCCCTGATAAAGGAAATCATTCTGTTATGAGTGAAAACTGAAAGAATGTAAGGATGCTATCACGGAAAATAATTCCTTCCTTGCTCCTTCAACTTCCAACTTTGAAAAACTACATAATTAACTAAACAGAGTTCTTCTTTCACTGTACAGTTAATAAAATATTGTGGCGTCACTTTAGTTGCAATTGCTCTTAAACTAACATATTATCCAAACATATACTGACAGTTATACAAATCTCCTTCTCCACCCAGTCTAATTCCAACCAAAACATACACTCTAAAACTGGGAATATCCCAAGAATCCCTTGTTCTTTGTGAAAGTAACAGGGTTATGCTAACCCTCACTTTCTATGTATATTTTCACATCAGATCTTGATGCTGCCTTGACTTACCCCATGGATCTTGGGAGCTGATTTTTTTTAAAAAACCACAGCCCCTGAGTAAAAATGGTTACCTATCTCCAGCCCAGCCCAGCTCAGCCCAGCCCAGCCCACTTTAGTCCATTGCACTCATAAAATTCAAGGATTCATTTTCAAACTGATTTAACAAAAATCTTCAGGCATATAACAACCAGGGTAAGGAAAGGGTAGTTCAGGCAAGAAAGAAGGAATGTGAGCAAATGAAAACTCAAGCATTTCCCATTTTTGTTGGCATTTAGATGAGCACAAGAGTACAGCAACTAGTAGACTTTTATCAGAAAAAGATAAATGATGGCTGAGCATCAAAGAGCTCAGAGAAAGCTTTAGAGTAGCAAAATGGTTGCTCACCTTACAAAATCAAAACATATCAGAGATATCTCTGAACTGTCCAGTGAATGAAAGGAGATATAAGTTTGTGGGAAGTTTTATAATCAGACAGTGGCATGAAATTTGCCTTCAGGTCTCGTCAGGTCTCTGGACTAAAGAGAGTCTAGGTTCTCCTAAATATTTGAATTGGAACTGCCTAGGGTCCCAACCAATAGTTCTAGTGGTACATGGAGAACAGAAGGAGATATAAAACACATGATTTGTGAGGCTTTAGGTTTGACAAGCACAACATCTGGTGATAGACGT